CAAATTGGAATTGAACTACTGTTACTTAGTTGAAAAATTTTACCCAAAACTTTATTTGGTTCTTTTTACAGTGCTTCCAACACAGAACGATGAGTTTTGACCCTCTGGAGGGGCACGATCTGAAATGCCCACACTCTGCAGCAGCCTCCTAACTCAGCCTCCCATCCCCACCCTGCCCAGTTCAATCTGTTCCCACCGTGGAGCTGGAGAGTGCTCATCCAATAATGCTGTTGGTAGCTGCTGCTGACTTGGCCCCCGACTCATGGCGACCTCATGTACTACAGACTGTTGTGATCTGTACGGTTGTCATTGGTTGATTTTCAGAAGTAGATTGTCAGGCCTTTCTTCCTAGTCTGTCTAGTCTGGAAGCTCTGCTGAAACCTGTTTAGCATCATAGTGACACGCAAACCTCCACGGATGGGTGGGTGGTGGCTGTGATTGAGGTGCATTTGCTGGGAACTGAAACTGGGCCTCCCGTGTGGAAGGTGAGAAATCTACCACTGAACCACCAACGTCTCCAATCTAACCGCTGTTGTTGCTGTTGGGGGCCGTCAAGTTGATTTCAACTCATAGCGACTCCGTGTGACAGAGTAGAACTGCTACATGGGATTTTCTAGGCTGTAATCTTTACGGCTCTCACGTGTCTATCAGTTTGTCGTACTGTGGGGGCTGGCGTGTTGCTGTGATGCTGGAAGCTACGTCACCGGTATTCAGATACCAGCAAGGTCACCCATGATGGACAGTTTCAGCTGAGCTTCCAGACTAAGACAGACTAGGAAGAAAGACCAGTTGGTCTACCTCTGAAAAGAATTAGCCAGTGAAAACCTTACGAATAGCAGCAGAACACTGTCTGATACAGTGCTGGAAGATGAGCTCCCCAGGTTGGAAGGCACTCAAAAGACAACTGAAGAAGAGCTGCCTCCTCAAAGTAGGGTCGACCTTAATGATGTGGATGGAGTCAAGCTTTTGGGATCTTCGTTTGCTGATGTGGCATGACTCAAAATGAGAAGAAACAGCTGCAAACATCCATTAATGATCAGAACATGGAACGTATGAAATATGAATCTAGGACAATTGGAAGTTGTCAAAAATGAAATAGAACACATAAACATCGATATTCCAGGCGTTAGTGAGCTGAAATGGACTGGTACTGGCCATTTTGAGTCAGAAAATCATACAGTCTACTATGCCAGGAATGACAACCTGAAGAGGAACGGCGTTACGTTCATTGTCAAGAAGAACATTTCAAGATCTATCCTGAAGTACAATGCTGTCAGTGATGGGATAATATCCACACACCTACAACAAAGACCAGTTAATACGACTATTATTCAAATTTACACACCAACCACTAAGGCCACAGATGAAGAAATTGAAGATTTTTACCAGCTTCTGCAGTCTGCAATTGATCGAACATGCATTCAGGATGCATTGATAATTACTGGTGATTGGAATGCGCAAGTTAGAAACAAGAAGGATCAGTAGTTGGAAAATATGGCCTTGGTGACAGAAACGAAGTCGGAGATCGCATGATAGAATTTTGCAAGACCAACGACCTTTTCATTGCAAATACCTTTTTTCACTGACATAAATGGCGACTATACACATGGACCTCGCCAGGTGGAATACACAGGAATCAAATCGACTACCTCTGTGGAAAGAGACGATGGAAAAGCTCAATATCATCAGTCAAAACAAGGCCAGGGGCCGACTGAGGAACAAGCCAT